CCTGGAGAAGGTTCTGAAGGGTGTATTCTCGAAGCTCTTCAAGATTGATTTACTGCTAAAGGTTGTATGACGAACGCATTGAGAACCATTTGAAAGCTACAATAAAAGCTATTTAGCAACAATAAAAACCCTTTTCGAGCCTTTCCCCTAGCCGCATGCTGAATCCACTAGGAAAGCATCAATCAAGATAGAAAAGGATTTATGAATCCGATCTTATCAAAATAATTAAAATAGAAACTGATGGTATAAAAATCTTGTTGAATATCCAAATTTATTACAATAGTTCTCATTAAGTGGCCTAGTTTTAAGTGCCATATTAAATTTTATGTGAAATGTACGTGAAATAATCGAAAAAATTAAGTCCACCCTCGTAAAACGTCGATTTGACCAATTATTTAACATTGAAAAAAAAAAAATATATTCTTCAGATCGAGCTTGGCCGAGATTTTTTTAAATGATTTTCGCATTTAAATGTTTGCTCATTGCTAAATTTACCAAAATATAGTTATATCCAAGGCAACATAGATTGAAAATCGAAGATTGTAAAAAAAAAAGCAAACTAATTTGAGCATGGCGGTGGCATAAAAGTTGATTTTCATGGGAAATATGTGAAAAAGTTGTTTTCCTTTCAAGAATTCCTTATCAAATTAATAAGGTTCTAAAATGGCTTTTATGAAGAAAACTTGCAGGCTGAATTGTATTTATCTAAAGCCATTTTGCTTGATCCTAAACCGTTCAGATTAATGACAGCATTTATGGAGGCAAAGTTGCCTGCAGAAAGTTAAACGTCAAAGTTTGTTTATCTTTCGATAGTTGCGCTGTGAGATCCAGGATTCTTCCAGGCGGTTTTCTCCCGATGGATTGTTTGCGATACTGTTTTACAACATTTCGCATTTCGAACAGCTGGAAGCGCAATCGTTCCCGAAAAAGATCCCTTCTTCCGGATGGTTACAGAAGTGCACCATCCAATGATGCAGAGATGTACGGTTGAATGAAATTTTCGAAGAGTCTTTCGCCGAATAAAATCGCTGCTTTGGATCGGAAAACAGCTGATCTCCGCTAACTAACAGTTTCAGTGGTTTGCTGTCGGTTGTTATTTCGATTGTCATCGCAAGATCTGGAGAAGGCTGGTATGTTTTTCAACTTTAGACAATGTTTTATGAGTTCGAGGGCCCCGCTCACTTTACTCTTCTCCGACAGATGGTCAGTCGTTGGTGGTGTGCTGGTTCTTCTAAAGAAGTAAATTTATCTGAAATTGACTTGATTTTTTCATCCTACTTCGTCTATCCTTCGAGATTTCCTTGTCATAGTTTTGGCATTTGGTAACTATGAGGAACCATCTTTTAAGCTCAATTTGTAAACAAAGTAATTGGGGAGTTAATAATGCTTTTTAAAAAGGCTAAAAAGCAAAAATAAATGCTTTTTTCTCTAATACAAAACCTAATAGTTTTATGGTTGCTTTTATAGTGATAGAACAGGTTTATAAAGTGTTTTATAATGACATTAATAAACAATTGCTAATGACGTTTATGCTTGAATTATAGAACAGTTTTAAGGAGGGATTGATAACTGTTTTAAATTTATTTTTAAAACAAGGCAGTTTTTGACTTTCTTGCCAGACTATAAAAGGTTTTTAAAACAGCAAAAAGCTGAACTACTAAGCAGGAATGTTTAACACTTTAAAATGCTATATTTAAACTAAATGGATTGTTCATTGCCGTTATAAAACCATCATAAATCAGAGTGGATGCTAAATGGTTACTGAATTGCTACTTGGGATGCTTGACTTGCGCAACTTATTTATGACTACCTACTGTTTTGGACATGTTGTAAATTAATTTCATCCTTCCTACGAATGGAATTTGTTTATCATCAATTGACACAACTTATCCTTCTGAGGAATTTTATCGTGCGAATAAAGTGCCTTAACTGAGATTCCGTACTGCAAACATTTATGCGGTTGCAAATTTATGGTACATCTATACATTCTACTTCTAAAAAACTCATTGGCTCTTTAAAAAAGCTTAATATAAAAAAAATTGAATTGCATAAAAAATCCTAAATAAAATTCCCCAACTTTGCAAAAAACAAAAACAAATAGAAAATCAACATTCTTTTTTAATTATCTTACTTTTCTCTTTTACAAAAAGTACATGTGATGTTGAAAGCACACATAAAATGTTTTTTCATTCTATACATTGCTTCATTGGTCAGCCATATTGTAGTGCAGTTTGTAGAATGCATTGAGAAATTTCATAATTGTTATCAAAACATGTTTATTACACGAAAAACAAGAACATTACTTGTATCGTATATTGAAGTTATAATTAGGTATGGCAACTCTCAATTGCCTATTTATAACACTTTTATAACTGATTGTTTTTGAAGAAAACTTGCTAGCCTTATATACAACATGTTTTCATATGTCATTTTTGGAAACATGAGTACAACTGAAATATAACTTATTAATAACATGTTATCAATAAGTTATATCTCAGATGTATTCATATTTCTAATAATGACATATGAAAACATGTTGTACATAAGGCTAGCCAGTTTTCACCAAATACAATCAGTTATAAATGTGTTATAAACTGGTAACTGAGACATGCAATATCGAATTACAACCTCAAGATAACAAGTGCTTGTCAGAAAGGTTGAATACTTCACAAACAACAATACAACGCGTCTAAAACAGGATGTTTTAAAATCAATTAATATAAATATAACTTATTTACAACTGGATTTTTTTTATTTTTCATGCAAGATGTTGCAAGTGTTACTTGGGATTTCCCATATTTTTTTTTTTTTTCCTTTGGTTTGTTTTTTCCGTCGATCTTGTTTTCCGTGCTGAGCACCAATGCTACCGACGTGCCAGGAAGGCAGCTCCCACACCTGGACCCTACCTATCGACCCATCAACTCATGAACCGGGGACCAACGGCTTTACTTCCCATCCGAAGGAAGGCGTGATCAGAGATGTTATGCCTCAGAACATCCCGGCGGCGCCGACTGGTATTGAACCCAGGCCTGCTGGGGTGAGAGGTAATCACGCTTACCACTACACCACCGGCGCCGTTTGGGATTTCCCATATGTTGTCATAAAATAAACGGATACGGTGGCATCAACGTCAGTGAGCTCAAGTAATTGTACCTTATCCAACCCACTGATTCTCGCGTTGATAGCGTTATATTCACATCGTGCAAAGTTGTAGTCACTGCAAGCTGCTTGATACAAGAGTGGATGTCAAGTTCGAAAACTAACGGCTTGTGGTGATTTTCAGCTTTCAAAATAGCAGATGGAGGTTCAAACTCAACAAACAATTGCTTATTGAAGAAACGACTTCTTGACGATTTTAATCAACTGCATGCTTAATAAGGCTTGTACTATTTTTAATAATAACTTCTGTTCAGGCTATGTTCACACAAATCTGGAGAAGTTATTCATCCACAACATCGAAATAGAGCAGTTCCACACAGATTCGCAAATCGTTTCGGATCGACCTTTTACGATTATGATGAAACTTTGCACAGTTGTTTGCCATATTGTTTACATATATGGTTACCTTGTTTTGCACATGACTAGTACTTGAAAAGGGCTTATGCAAAAATGATACGCATCAATAGAAAAATATATATCTCGTGAACGATTTGTTTGATAGAGATGGTGTCTTAGAAGAAGTTGCGGAAAAGTATTGTGCCTTCCAAGAAAAAATATACACTGTATCCATCTACTTGGAAAGCCGACAATCTACATGAAAAGCCGAAACGGTAACCATTATGCTAACAATTTCGTTTTGTTTTTACCTTGAAACAGTGTTGTTGAATAATGAATGAATACGCCGTTTGTAAAGCATTTACAAAGCATGCAATTAAAACATGGTATAATAGCTATTATGCTGACTGTATTCACCTTTATTCAGCAATATTGTTAAGCAATGCAATGGAATCTAATATTGGAACTAGAAAACAATTATTAGACGTATAATAAAGCATGTTATTAAATCAATTGAAAACAGTCGAATTAAAGCGTCAATGTATGTGCAAATTACACTTATTCAGTTTGTTATTAGATCAAACTTCTGGTGTTGAATCAGGAAGACAGTCAACGTTTATATAGCTTTTAATAAGTAAATTAATCAGATCAGAGCGAACAGCGGAATAAAGGAGCATCAATCGATCTCAATGAGGGTTTTTCAGCACATAAATTGACAACCCGTTTTATTCAGCATTGCACACTGTTATAAAGCATTTATTCAATATATATGTTTATTTGTGACTCTGAATTGTTTTTTGGGAACAGCTCAATGCCATCTGAATCCCTAACGAGTACCAGGTCAAGAAACTTACCATTCGTGTTGAGACCAGCAGACAAAATGGACTCCACCAGAGCGAGCTCCTGTTCAGATGCGGCATTGAGAGGCAAAAACCTTTCCATTCCTCGACGAAATTTCCAAACTAGATTTGGCAGGTTGTCATAGCCCACGAAACTAGTTGTATCTTGAGGGTTAGTTGTTTCAAGAAGCTGTTGTACAGAGTCAGCGTGTTTGGTGTAAATATCCAGTTGACAATTAGACAACCACTTGGGCCAGGCACACTTATCCTGGTCATATTTCCAATCATCTTCAAAAATGACCAGACTTAATTTTTCATGCAATATGACAGCTGTAAAATTTGCTGTAGAGTTTGAAGAACTATAACGAAACCATAATATTTTCGCAACGCCAGTGTTTCGCATTGTTATCATTTTAATTAATCTACCTATCCATTTCACTTCTGCTTTCAGATTCAATGTAGCTCCACCACCCTGCAAAACCACCTTCGCTTCGCTTGAAGGGTGCTTTTCCCCACCCTTAGAAGCAACCATTCAAAAACTTGACCGGTAATGGACCGCAAGAATGGAACAAAGATTCTACCACCGCCATCGTCAAAAGGATCAGGATCAGCCGCCCCTTCAACGCGTCGAAAACTGCCCGTCAAAACAAACATCCCTCCCGCCAACCAACAACTGGCAACGACTGCGACGACCGTCCAGCAACAAGGCGAAACCAGAATGTAAGTACCTTCAGAATTTGCTTCATTCTACGTGTTCCCCCCGCGCCGGGAGGCGACGAGCATAAGCATAAGCGTAAACCCAAACAGCTGGTTTAGTTCGTAGGCGAATGGCGCAGGGTGTTCCTGTGCCGCCCCATCAAATTTTAAAGATTAAAGCGAGCGAGCATAAAACGCTTTAAAAACATCGCATCGTGCGGCCGTGCTCTGCCGGTTGCATAGCTCGTAGGCTTTAATTTGAGTGTCTCCTCTTTCCACTCTGCCTCTGCTAGTTGGACGACTGGCTAACTTCGCTGGCTATGTTTCCATAGTTTGAGCTTTTGCTTTTCTATAGCAGTCATGATGATGACGACGACGACGACGACGACGCCGAACGCAAATTTCCCTTGCTATGCTTTTTTGCTTTACCAAACCTATACACAGAGAACACATAGAGCAACTGCAGCAACACAGTACGACTTTGCATAACGATGCATTTTCATTTGCAGGGGCAAAGTCACTGGCAGTCATGGCAGCAGCAGCAGCAGCAGCACGTCGAAGATGCAAAACGCGATGCAGCCTACATTCGTGAGTATCCTCAAGCGTGAAATGCGGTTAGGGTGGTATTCAGCTAAATTGATTAAATAGATCTATTACGGTGTACACTTCAAAGGTTTAAATATGATCATCCACGAATCGTTCAACAGGTCTATGTTTGTATTGTTACCTTTATTTTGAGCGCAGCACTATCTTAGCAGGGGTACTTTTTCATACAAAATATGGGTCGAATTGAGCATTTTGCTCTATTCTATCTCTCTTGCATTGCACAGTGGGCAAAAATTTACAAAACCGCGACTAAATTGAATATCTCTGCTGCCAAACAGTTTCAGTCAACATGTTATGCATATTCGAGACTTTCGCGTACCGAGATAGAGGGCCGGGATCAACCGAGTTCCAGGTAAAGTAGGAAATGCCACAATCTATCGACATAATTTTACACTTTACTTAACGTACAGGGTGCGTGACGAATTTTTGCAGTAAATGGCATATTTGAGAAAAAATACACCAGTTAGTTATTCTAGCAATGAATTTTGTGCGATTTATTTTCTTTCGCAACATATAGAAGTTGTTAGTAAATTTATTCAAAAAAATTGCCTTCCCTTTCGACGACTGTAGTTAGACGCTTCCGGAAACTGCAGTATACACGTTTTAAAATGTTTCGATCCATAGATGTCATCACTGCCTTGATTTTAGCTTTTAGCGACTTAAGTGTGGTGTGAGGGTTCTATTGGTATCCCGTTGGACGACGCTCTATACAAAATAATCCAACGGATTGATATCGGGACTGCTTGGGGGCCAAATTTCTTCCTCCTAAATTTAAGAAATATTTTCCGTAAGCCTTTTCTGTGCTTTATTAGCAGTATGAGCAGGTGCTCCGTCTTATCACTTTCCCAAGCCTTTTTTAATATTATACACTGTTCTTTCAGACACATTTACCGACCGAATTATTTCTTTCAAGCATACTCCGGCGCGCAACAAAGCGACAACGGCTGACAGATTGCTCTCTTGTTTCGACATCTTTACGTTTACTCAACATTGTTTGTTTAAATCTTACACCTAACAGTATAAGCTATCCAGTGCTGCCAAATATATCTAAATCATGATGCACAAGCATGTGAAATTACTATTTGAAATTTACTGCAAAAATTCGTCACGCACCCTGTATATTACTGGAAATTGATAGTACTAAGTATATATGGTGTAAATACATATACACCCTCAGGAAAACTCTACTGGCCTAAAGGAGGATCCGGAACGACCGATACACTGCACACTGGGCCAGTAACCGAAATTAGCAAGACAAAACCTCTAGTGCATTGGGTTTGCATTATATTGAAATGGTGTATTTTGCAAAGTTTCTCGGTTTAACATGCGCCTTCATCTGGTAATGGAAATTAGTTTCAATTTTATCCGCCTAGATGGTGCTGCTTTTTTGTTTCACATGCTAGAGGTTTTGTGTCTCCGGCAAAGTTGTAGAACATTAAAAAATATAAAAAAATGCCCAAAATCTCAAAGTTCCTGGTCTTTAAACAACAAAGATATAGTGAATATTTTAAAATTTAACTGAAATTTACGTTTTTTGTACTATCTTTCATTTTTAACGCCGTGCATCTTTTAAGTCGGATAATTTGCAAGTTTTAAGGAAGAGTTCCCAATGTTTGGGTCGATACAAGCGAAATATTAGCCAAAATAGTGAAAATTACCATGATTTTCATAATCCGGTTTCTCGAAAAGTAGCAAGTTTTAGCAAAAAGTCATTTACTTTCTGAAGTGTACCATTTATCATCAAGCAAAGGTGAAAGTTTGCCGGACATATAATTTTAAATATTTGAGATATCTGAATTCATAGACTACAATGTTTATTCAAGCAGCGTTCGCCAACGCACGGCTTGCTGGCTACATGCGATGGAAACGATGGAATATGTCTCTTATGCTTCGCTAGCTGCACGTTGGTGAACGCTGTACTTATGTATGCACAAAGCTTCTTCATGTATATTATCGAACATGTGTGCTTGTGTGATGAGATATCTAGATTCAGAATATTTTTTTTAATTCTAACAACTACCTGTTATCTTGCATTGTCGATTATTGCAACAGCATTTGCACGGGTCCTGGAAATTGCTCTTTCTTGTATTGAGGAAACTGTTTGTGCACTGTCATCACCGGGTCAGAGGTCAGCAAAAGTCGATGGAATACACACTTAGATTTTTTTGCCGAGATGGGCACCACCGAGCAGCATGGCATTTTATTTTGCTGGAAATTCAGCAAAAAATGTGTTTGTTAGCTGAGATCTCGGCAAAATTCCCAGTTGTTAGCTGAATCTCGGCAGGTTTTTCACTGAGATCCAGCAAAATAAAATGCCCAGCTGCTCGTTGGTGCTCATCTCGGCAAAAAAATCTAAGTGTGTACGTCCTCGATTTTTGCAAGAAGACTGAATTGTCGAGAATGGTACTTCCGATATTTTCTGATGGATTTGTTTCGTCGCTCTTGCGCCTCTTCGGATAATAAACCAACCGGAATATCACAATGGCTTATGATTGTCGGGCCATGCACCAAGACCCTGTGTACCGTAGGTGACAAAGTTTAAAAACTATAATAATGGACAAACAACCTTCTAGTCTCTTCTGCGTAAGTTTCGAATGCCTATACGTCGATTTCAAGCTTGCTAGATAGCGCACACAGAATTGTAACGAATCAACGAAGGATATCTTTCTCAATTCCTGTAATTCTTGCCGTTATTTCTGGATTCTGAAATAATCTTCTGGCAGGGTTGCCATCATTACTATGAAATGAAAATGTATTCGTAATGTAAGGTAACAAGACGATAAAAATAAATTACCTCCAGATGGCAACGGTTCACTTATTCTCAGTCCTATTTTCTTGAACTTTCTTCTTTTATTGTAAGATCATTTTCGCACAAAAAATCGCAAAGCATCGTCAGCTGTAAATCGTTCGATCTTTGGTTTGGCACTTGATTGGGCTTTTAACCTTGTTCTTTGGCTATCTTCACAAAAAGATTTTTTCGGTCTTCCACCTACATTTTTCTTTGGGCTATCGTCCTGAACTTTGAAGTGGGAATCCAGTCATTTTGTATATTTTTGGAAAAACAAACGCTTGTTACGGCAGGACTTGGCATGACGTGAATCAAAGTCTGCTTTTAGAAATCCAAGCGATTTGTGAAAGGCTTCACTTTCAAGACAAATAATTTTCTTTTTCACATGAGATGCCAGATCAACGAGCGATATTTTTTTTGAAAAATAATGTCACGATTTCCCGAACACTCACGCTGCATACTTTTATTTTCAATAATGAAATAAATACCTTCTGAACAATTAAAAACCACCTACCTTCTATCATAATTATCCGTTATATACTTCAAAATAACACAAATTATAATCCACCGGAAAGTCAACGTTACTTCGAAACAACAGAGCTTCCGTTTTCGTACTTACATTTTCAGTTAGTCAATCAGTAAGTAGTACATGTGTATTCTCATTTCAACATTAGATCAGTGTACGAAGATTTGCTGCAATCTTCTTTCATCCGTAAATGATGACAGTTTTGGGTGGTTTGTTTTGGCTCCCATTCGTTGCCAAAACCTCTAGCATGTGAAATAAAAAAGTTAGTATCGCAGCACCATCTATGCGGATAAAATTGGAACTAATTTCCATTTCCAGATGAAGGCGCATGTTAAACCGAGAAACTTTGCCAAAGACACCATTTCAATATAATGCAAACCCAATGCAGTAGAGGTTTTGTCTTGCTTATTTCGGTTCCTGGCCCAGTGTGCACTGGCCACATTATAACAAATGTCCTAGAGCCTTGTGATTTTTTCTATGTTTGTTCAGAATCATGAGATCAAAGCGTATATAATATAAAAAAATATATTTTGGGGTATAGTGGCTTTATACTGGTTCTCCGGATAATCTGGATTGACCGTAAAGTGGCCACATTATAAAAAATGTCCTAGAAACATGCGATTTTTTCTATGTTTGTTCAGAATCATGAGATCAAAGCGAATTCAATAAAGAATTTAAATTTTGGTGTAAAGTGGTCATATCCTGGTTCTTCAGATAATCTGGATTGACCAATAAAGTAGCCACATTATAAAAACTGTTCTAGAACTGTTGTTAGTTCAGAATAACGAGATGAAAGCGTATTTAATATGGAATTTATAGTTTGGGATCAAATGACCATATCCTGGTCCTCCAAATAATACGGGTGGACCGATAAAGTAGGTCGTACAATCTAAGCCGTGCAGCATTTGTCTACCGCACAAGTTGGGAAAAATTCTTTATTAAATTCGCTTTGATGTCATGATTATGAACAAACATAGAAAAAATCACAAAGTTCTTGGACAATTTTTATAATGTACCCCTTTTATCGATCAATCCAGATTATCCGGAGAACCAGAATAAAGCCACTATACCCCAAAATTTAGTGTCTATATTATATACGCTTTGATCTCTTGATTCTTAATAACATAGCAATAGTCTCCGGCCAATGAAACCACCACCAATCGATTAAACAGAGTTTTTCCTCTGAGAATATGAACTACTGACTGAAACCGTTTGGCAGCCGAGATATTCAATTTAGTCGGGTTTTTGTAAATTTTTGCCCAGTGTGCATTGGCTTATATTTCGAAAGCAATATATCAGTACGAACAAATTAAAACACAAAAGGTAGATGCACCAGTCATGGTTAATACACAGAACAAAAAATCAGAATTTGAATTGTGATGTAAACATTCATTCACGTACACTGCCCATAATCGCAAGACAGTCCCATCTGTAAAAAACTAGAAATGAAAAAAACGGCGTTCAAAGATTTTACAAGTTTTATGATTTGGCACTTATTTTGGTGCGATAAATTTAAAAATAAACGTACAGTGTGATGGAACGCGTCTGTTTTTACCCAAAAATATTGGAAAAAATATAGTGAAATTTTTATTTTATGGCCAAAATCTGAGTGGGACTGATTTGCGATTACATTTAACGTCAATGAGAAAAATAACCGCATGTCAGTCACAATTCCATGACGATGCTGCATTAGTTTAACACAGTATTGAACAGTCGAAAGATACCATGGTCCCATAGAACGTTATTGAATGTTTCTGGATTTGTTCCGCTGGTTCCAGAGCAATGGCCGGAACATATTCCGGTGAGTATGCCTACATAAATGCGAACCATTACTTGACCTTACCAAAAATGGGTTAAAATTGTTTATAGTCCCTGCTAAACTTTAACTGAAATGGTTATGGAGCTTTGCATGAATTTTTTTGTGTTAAAGTTTTAACCTTATGTATTATAGTTTATTGGAAGTGGACCTTACAAATAATGGATTTTTAAGAACCATCACCCTTCCAAATTCTTGTTTTCTCCATACATTTTCGGAAAAGGAATTATATTAGAACCTTTTTATTTATGATTTTATAACTTTAATGGTAATGGTTATGGTAGTCAGTAAGGTCCATGGATGGTTTTGTAACAACGATCAACTTTATGTGGAATATATCGCGAATTGGTTGCCTGTTAATTAATGATTACCAATTCGCGATATATTCCACGTAAAGTTGACCGATAATAAAAAAAATTAATGAACCTTACTGGGTACCATAAGCATTACCAACAAAGTTCTCAAACTATAAGTAAAAGGCTCCGAAAATGTATGGAGAAAACAACTATTTTGAACGGTACTGGTTCTTAACAACCCATAATTTGTAAGGTTCACTTCCAAAGAACCACAATACATAAGGTTAAAACTTTATCACACAAACGTTCATGCAAAGTTCCATAACCATTTCAGTATTACCATTCCATCCATAAACATTAGCAGGGATTATAAATAATTTTTAAACATTTTCGGTAAGGTCAACTTACGGTTCGCGTTTATGCGGGCGGGTCTTCATCAGACCAGAGCTTTTCATAAACATGCCAAACCCACCATGCGATAAATCAATTCACATAAGAATTAAAAAATAAGAACAATAAGAGTCACGATGAGTGACCAGCACCATGTTGGCCACACCCGAACATGTTTCGGGTATCCCCGGGGAAGTGGTAAATCCTTTTAAAATCAAAATTCATCAAGCGATACATCAAATCACATGAGAATTCAAAGCCATATCCATTGGCGGTCAAATTGAGTATCGTAAGAACTAAACTGTCTATAATTGGATATCAGTCACATATGGAAGAAGTAGGCATTGATAAAATGATCGTCGAAGTTACGAAGTGCAATTTCCATGTAAATATTTGAAAAATCATAGTAAATTTATTGATAATATATTTAAGATAAAATCAGTTGAAATGAAGCTTGTATGTTTTGTCATATCAGTGAAAAATAAGGAAATTCAAAAGGCAGAACTTTAACTTGAACTATGGACGATTGAAATTTAGGATGAGACTGATATGCGATTATTTTGCTTGCTGGGACAAACTAACTTGATGTTGTTTTCACATTTTCATGATCAAAGTTCGTAGTTTTATCACGTAATATGAAAGTAGATGCCAATTGATAGTGGATAGCATTGTTATCTTAAAATTGACGAAAATCGATATGGGACTGATATGCGATTATAGGCAGTATATTGGCCACACCCATGTCCCAGATACCCTAGGAGAAATGGAAAAAATCTGTCCTGAGACAAGTCTCATGTGTTGTCTAACATTTCTAACATATTTTTTTTTTCTAATGGGACTGACTTGCGGCTACTTTTCGCTGTGGGACAGTTTTCTTGAACAAACTACCTTTTTTCAATAGCACATCTCACAAAACATAGAAAGATAAACTGAATAATGATCAATCCTTTAAATTTTAAAAGTGGTGTTGAGTACTTGGCACTGATGAAGTCTGCAAGTAGTAGACGAAATACGCGTATCTGTCAAAATATAAGCAATTATAGCGGAATTTAAAGGAAATAAACCAACCCACTCAAAGCTCTTCATGAATAATGATGCTAACTCAAAATTGATAAAAATGCAGATGGGACTGACTTGCGATTACCGGCAGTAAACGTGTATTTAATTTAACGCAAACGAGAAACTTGCAAGCAATGTTGTTTGCAAAGATAAGCTTTTGTATACAATATTTACAGCATTGCATGAAATTTTTCAGAATTCGTTGTGTTAACTTATATGATATGTGACGCTCCATTTATGTGCATCATATTGAACAGAAACTTTTACTTCTTTTTCGAACTGTGTACGTTTCTATCATGGTGCGTTCCAATTATGGTCATGGAACTCCCATTTTCCATAATCGGAACACACCATAGTAGGATACTATAGCTCTGCTTGGAACATCTACCCTACATGAATTCTATGAGCGTATTCAGCCTCATGAGCCGAACTCATTAGCGGATGCTCATATCTGCAATTATTTTTAACGTAAAAGATTAAGAGAAATTTTATAGAATGTTATGTTTTGATTGCTGCAGGTTTTTAATTTGTTTTTTTTTTTATTATTATTCTAGTCACTAAAACACATTTAAGTTCATTCGTGACTTGTGCGGGATGAGATTTGAACCTTTAGCTTGACAAGCCGCACGCCAAACGCTATGTTTAAAGGTGACTTTTGACGTAGAACTACGTCTGTGATTTCTGTATGAGGGTACACTTTGTGAAAACCGAAAATGGAACATGTAACGAAATTATGAAAGATTTTGAATGTTAATAACTCAGCTGCCCCTGGACCAATTTCAAAATTTTTATCACCAATCGATCAGAAATATTTCTACGCATTGATAGAAATGCTGTGACTGTTGATTCTCAACAATAAACTGTTGAAAAAGTGGTAAGTGTCAAGCATTGTTCAAAAGCGTCGAAATCCACCAACTACGTACATGCATATGATGCTTCCCCAACACAGTCATCAGAGAGTCGTTAGTAGAAGAAACAAGTCGAAGTGGCTTTTGCCTTCAATTTTCGGGCGTGTGCGAATAGGGAGGATGCAATTGCGTAACATTTCGTAACATTTCTTCTGATTGCCATATTCAGAACCATACACCCCCAACAACCACACAAATTAATGTGACAATGCTAAGCAAACGTACACTCCTTTACCTAGCTCAAACATTGATGAATGAGTGGATTTGAGGTATGTGCTCAAGTCCATAGGCAATTTTCACAATGCCGTACTCTAATGGAAATAATCGATCTATCTTCTTCAGAACTTTATCTAGCTAATAAATGATCGAACTAAAGCTTCATGTTGTATAGTATAGTATATATAGTATAGCACTTCCACCCAACTCTGAAAATCGTACACTTCAAGTACGACGTAACAACACACTTTGATTGAAAATGGAAATAGAGCTAAAGAACAGTTTTTTATAGGCACCGTAATTCAATTAGGGAAAATTCTTCTAAATCAGACAAATCATGAGATATTAAAAACATTATGAAACAAATTTGATTAAAGTTAGCTGAGCAATAACTTTTTCCTAGAATGTGCACCTTTATTTCTGTAAATAAAAGGGTTACATATATTATATAAATATGATAAGAACCACCCTAGTATTAATTGACTCCAAAATAAGGGTTTAACTGTCAAATAATTGACTTTCTCACCTGACGTCTGATGAATGCATATCTGATCACAATTCCAGATCTCTCCGATGATAACAATTCCAAATACAGAGGTTTAAAATATCGCCATAACCCTGCTTTTTTGGTGCATACCACCCTGACCCGAACTAGTTCCCTTCCTCAAAAGAATCGCTTTTAATTAATATAAATTCTTGCAGGCCTCCGTACATCGTCCTCGGCAGATAAGCAGCATGGCAGCCATCAAACGGACAGGTTCCGGCTCGGGTAGAGCGGATCTCATGCATCTGCAGCAAAAATATGCCGGTACCGGAGCCCACTTTCGTCAAGATGCAAGTGCCACCGGCGGAACAATGGGAAAGGCTTATTCAATGAATGAAAACAATGCCGGAATATTTAATCAACCTATTCTGCTCCCGCTGCCCGTTCAAATACCTGATCCATATGCTAATTCATCTCCAGTATACGGACAGACTCCGCCGATTCAGAAACTCTCCTGTCAGCCACAAACCCAGCAAAAGCAGCAGCAGCAACTACAATTTGATATGGCACTATCACAAAAGGCTGATTATCTGCAGCAGTCGAGTGGCGTAAAGTATGGTGGCGTAAATCACAAACACTCGCCAGCCGTGTCCAATCAGACGGGTTCAACAACGGTGGTGACCCGGCTGGCAAAACAGCAGCCCAACTTCAAAATGACACCGAAATCGCTGAACGACATTTACGAGAAGCACTTGTTGAGTCAAACCATTTTCGATGGCGGTGGTTCCAACGTAGCTCCAACCAGAGAGACCGTCCACCGTATGAAACCATCATCGACTGCAGCGGTCACCAGCGTCCAGCAGGCGCCACCAAATCAGAGCAATAAATTGTCCAGAGAGCACGGTTCGGATAATTTATACGAATCGATTCGCGGCAATTATCATATCTACGAAAAAATTGATCCGTCCAGCTCGACTTCCAAGCGCAGCTCCCGGTTGGAGCAGTACGTGAAGCCACCGCCCCCACTTCAGCCACGACCAAAGTCACTTCCGATTGGAGCTAGTGCTCTGTTGTCGCCAGCTAGTGAACCAACCAACATCAGCGGCGGGAGCCAACATGAGCGAAGCTCGTCCAACATTCCGTACAAACTGACCAGCCCGGATGTGTTGCGGGCCATGAAGAGTCCTATCGGGGCAAGTCTTTCGCCGATTTCGGAAAAGCCAGCGTCCAGCACGGCCATACCGGTCTACGGAGCGGGGGGAGGAAGCGCACATAAATCAGTCATTACGGCGGACAAGATCAACATTGCCCTGGAGACGGCGAAGGCACTCGCAACGGCAGCGTACATCGAGAGGTGAGTTTTTGCTCTGAGTAGAATGAAGTAGCGTCCAGGATATCGGAATGTTCGTTCCATCCTGTCACTTTGGTGGGGGATGTTGTGGCCAAATCAACGTCAGATTGGGTTACGGATGATTACTGCAGTTTTGCGAGTTATTATTTATTCGAGTGATTCGGTGGTGACACACTGCTAATGCTGTACAAACACAGGATTATACAGTTCTAAAATGTACAGCGTCATCGACTATTTGCGCAAGATTCCATCATGAATTTTCACTGTTGCTGCCATAATGAATCACAGTAGCAGTAGCATAGTTCCGGGGAATCACACTGGATCAGAAGCTCAATTCCCCATAACTCAGAACAATAGCCACTCAAAAACATAATCCGGCCATAATACACCCTCGCATTCCACAAACCGTAACTGCTGAAATACGTTTTTCTAATCCAACAAATCTTCGGGAAACAAGTGGAAAATGCATTCAACGAAGACGCACCCGAAGACTTCCCAAACAACCGAACCATGTTTTCCCGAGTTTATTTTCTCACTCCGAATGTCTCAAAATAAGACTTCTTCGCCCTAAGCCGATCCCGTTCCAAAGTCAACCCAATAAATAACATAAATGTTTCCCATAATGAGCTGACATTTGGTTCGATTTGTTTCTGAAACAGAGAACGCATCATCATCGTTCTTCTTCCGGGGGACTCCACCCGCTCCACTCGAAGAGATCGGAGCTCTTTTGTTTGCTTGCTTACTTAGGTACAAATATTTAGTGTCTAAGCATCATCACCGTGATGCTCCTACTGTCTGCGTGTAACCAATAGGTTGTGTGTGATGGGGTATGGGTGTCACCGCATCAAGTGCTTCACTACTCGCATGCCGGCGGCTCACACCGCATACCACTCACAACTTGTAACAAGGTTCTAATTTCGGAGCGAAATTAGTTACGCCAACAAAGCATCAAAACATACTAAACACAAACGACATGCCACAATAAATTTACACACTCTTCAGTTTCGGATTCAATTAGGCGCTTCCTGCTTCTACTCTTCCCACATGCTGCAGTTATGAACCCCGTATTGGAACGCAAACGTCGAGGAGGAGGAGGGAAATCTTCACACCCAGCAAAGCAAGAGCCGGAATGCCTGTGGTGAAAGTTTTGATTCGGTTTCTCAAACTTACCGCCAGCGCTGAGATGTAGTTTATTAGACGGCGGGATCGGCATTAGTGGTGGTGGGTGTGGGTGCCGACAGAATCGCTTTTCCATCAGTAATCGCTGTTTGTTTCTCCACAAACTCGATTCATCGGAATGGAATTTGAGCGCGTTGGGGGAATTTATACGGTTTGCAATACAAGCCAACAGCTTTAGTGGTGTCATTTCTGCAGGGCTGACGAAATTTCCTAATGGTTTTACCTTAATGGCGATCACAGGTTGCATCATTTATGGTACATGAGGATGTAATCTTCCAATTGAATATCAAGTTCGTTGGCTTTACATATGTTCTTTCTCGTATTTCTAGTTCATCAAATTTCGACTGCTTTCAGTTTAATGTTCTTGTAGAAAATCTTACAATTATTAGATACTTACCTTACCATTAAGGCTAAGGCCTGGTTGTCCTTTGTTTTACATGAGCAGTTTCACGTCAAATGAAGGATTGAAGTAGGCAGCGCTGCGAAAATGACGTCTTTTGTTTTGCTGCGTCGTTTCGTTCTAGTAAAAATGTTACAAATTTACAATTTCATTTTTAAAAAGTGTTAATTTGAAAGTACAGAAGTGTTGAAAAGTGCATTAAGTGAAAACTTTCAAATTCCTATCCGTTGCACGTGGTGCCGACTGTTCTAACCTACGCGTAGTTACGCTCAGCTAAGTTTATTTACCTTTTCGTTACTCTGTCCTCGATAGGAAATATCAATCTAATTCAAGGCGATTATTTCAAAACTTACTAAATACGAGTCAATCAAGTATTGCACTACTGCTTGATTGAAAGTTTCAGTACATTATCAATGGTGTATATTTGCATCGATAATGTATTGGAGCGGGGCTTACCCAAGTAACAATCTAAATGCTTGGAAGATTTATTCTTATTTTATCATTGTTTTATCATAGCATCCCTTCCAGCCTGTGGTTGTATTACGGTTTTGTGTGCTTGTCATAAAATCAGGCCGTCAAGTCGTCTATAAAACTGTTTTATGACTACTAAATTAAAACTCAGGCTTCATAGTTTTAACGGTAGCTGTAAGGTGGTTCTGCATCACTACTTATAACTGAGGAATAAAACCAAAACAAAACATACAATTATGTTTTATGGTACACTTTTTATGACCGATATAAAACTTGAAGCAGTCTTAGACCTTCATTAAAGCTTCATTACAACTATCATCTTTGTCAGAGGCCTAAGATTCACAGATAAGAAATATACTGCTACAACAAAAAATACTCTGAAATTTTTTTGTCATTATAAAAAACAAATCTATTCAGATATATGAAATGAAAACCTCTTCAGTGCTTCTGAACACGATGAAGATGAGACGATCGACAATATGAAACTCCTGGAGGAACTACAGTTATGCGATCTCTACATAAGGCACAGTGCGGTGAAGGAGCTCTTAAAAATATTGAACAAGCGGCTTTTCGATACACTTCCGAAAGATCCACGAACCCTTCTTAAAGCAACGCCGGCAGTTTCACTAAATCCGTTTGGAGATGGCCAGTATTGACATCACGGCTTTAAACCTTGTATTGAAAAAGCTTTTAGTGGATCCAATAAGCATTTCTTACATCTTGATTACAAGCGAAAATAGGAGGATCGCTTGGAATGTTGACTTTTTGACAGGTGGTCATGGTTTTTGTTTTGTTTTGATTCGCTGTACCGAATAAAACCAGCAAGCTAGTTATATAGCTTAAATATAACTTAACGCTCTCAATTTGGACTACGAAATGCTAAGATACAACCATTAGGTTTATGTTATGCTATAGAATTCCAATCTAGGAGAATATGTTATATTGAGGTATTTTTAAGGAGTAGCAAGTTATAACGAAAAAAAATGTCGCCGTATGAACAAATTTCACACAGTATGAATAATTACACTTTAATTGATAGGCAATAAAACACTTTCATACATCTATGTATAATTAAATAATATGTGACTGCTTATTGCTCAACAGTAGTAACAGTTTTGTACTAAATAGATAATCTTTGAATGACTCTTTAATGTATGGTGCTAATGCAGACAAATTAAAAATATCCCTCTATTTTAGTATTCATATGGCGCACTAAATTTATGCTCCTATTTGGTATAATAATCACCATAAATATTGCACGGCATGCTGTGAAGCATATACAGATTGGTTTAAAATTATAATAAAGTCGTCTTATTTTCAATGTACAATTATATCAGCCATTATCACCAACTGACAAGGATCATGATCAAACATCGAAAGAATAAAACCACAATAAAATATTTCTCAATATTAACTATCATCCAGAAACCCCAACTTAAAACCTTCAAAGTTGTCAAAATGTTTTGCGTATCATGTTTTATCAACTTCTTCAGGAGCGATTTATGCGGTTGTAATATAGTTTTATGGTAGTCATTAGAAGCCTGTTAAAACTTTCTGACCTGGAGGAGGTTTTATGTTTTCATTTTTAACAATCACGTCTAGAGTGTGATAAAACTGACATAAATCCTATGCTCCTAAAGAAGTTCGCATATCAAGTTTTAATGACTGCATTAAAACTGGGCCAATTGGCCATGACATGGCTGTATTGCGGTTCTCAGGAGATTGTTAAAGCAATGTGGTCGTCAGTGAAGGTTTTATAATTTGGTTATATCAACTGCTATAAAACTTAAATAAAACAAAAATTGTTGCTTGGGTATCATGTGTGAAAATAGCTTCGGAATGCTTGCATTCTTGAAATGGGCTATTGTAGCTGCGGTAGAGCTGTCACCTTCTAACTCCCGGGTGAACCCGGGCTTCTTTGCATGCATAAGAAATGATTGCAGGCAGATTTTATCCATAATACACTGCCAGACAGTGAGAGTTAGGCCAAGGGCGAATCTTCATTCTAATCTACGATTCCACATACTATTATTAACTTTTAGCACATCAGAATGAATTGAGGATATGTTTAGGATCAACAAACATTTTCAGGCGCAAAGGAGCAACATTAATTAATTAATTTAGCTTTATTTAGGAGGCTTTCAGCCTTAGGCTGGTTCGCCTCCGAGGAGCAACATGATCGAGCTGATAACGATTCTTAATTCCAAAATCTGAAGACTGTTTTGAATAATATGTTTAGGTTATGGGCAGCAACAAAGGACAGATAAACTACTCACAGCTTCTATTTATTAAATGCTTGATATAACGATTGCCAGCAACGCCGTATCCTATGGCTTACCCTTCCTACTAACAAAAATCCAACCTTCCCGTGACACTTATGAGGGGTTGTAGAGTTCTCTGCATCTCTTTTAAGTAAGTGTCGGACTAATATTCCTCTCCTTTCCCCATCAGATGCAAGGACGTGGCCAGGACAGCTCTGGTATGTTGGAGACACATCCTTTATCAAAGAGGTAGTAATTAATCACAAATTACTATCTAACAGCAACGGATGAAGGTATGAATATGGCATTAAATCTGGTTTTGAAAGTTGGCGTACAGGTATAAAGTGAGGTTACGAGACGCCACTGATCAGACTTAAAGTGATCATTTTATAAAAACTAGATTAGTTAAAGTACATAACTCTAGATGGCAGCTTACCATCAAACATCTCAACTCAACTCAAATCTCATGCATGAGTTTATGAGCCTATGAGTTTTGCCTTCCAAAATTCAACGTCGCAAAAATCACCGATGAGTTTTCAGGTTCAAAAATTAATGTCTGTATATGTTGGCGCTATTAATTGTTACTACTATTGTTTGTGCATCAGGGGTTGGAAAACTAACACAACATACATATGCAAGCTGGCAATTGATTTTTGAGATGATTTTTTAAGCTTAAGGAAGGATTTTTCAGC